AAGTTCAGTGTTGTGGGGCATAAGCAGGTCTGAAGCAGGCACATCAGCAGCCTGTGAATGCACTCTCCACTGGAGGTCCCGCTGTGGAACTAGAATCATGTTCAAAGGCTAACAGAGTGCATAAAGCACTGAATAATGAATGCAATAATGGGAATGCTTAGCAGACGCCTTCCTCCCGACTCAGGAGTGTGCATTTTTGACAGTCCCAAAGAGGCCAGGATATTTGTCTAAAGAACATGACTAGCACTGTCAGCTCGCAGAAAAGAAGACTACCTGTATTCCCCCCGTTTCTTTGAGATGGAAATTGATGACAAATTCATTAGCTCCGAAGGCTGCTGAGTAGAGGCAGTATGGACTCAGGTGCCAGAAGGACCTCAATGGTCTGCCTAGAAGGGCTTCCATTTCTCTTTTCCCTGCTCATCCTTCAAAGCTTTGCCCAAGTCACACCTTCTCTCCTGAGACCTCCCTGTCTCTTTCACCACCCAGCAGGTCTTGTCAGGAAGCATTTATGCCATTGGATTTCAGAGACCCTGACATAAAAATATACCCATGTAGTTAAGACACAGTAGAGATTAGCCCCTGTGCAAAGCTTCTAACTGCCTTGACCAGGGAGAGACAAAATGTATATTTCCAAGAGTGAGCGGGATTAATCCTCACCTTGGCTCAGAGATCCTAAGAAAGGGTGGAAGGTAGCATAGCATGACCCTAAGAAGAAATCTGCTAGAAGAAGGGAACATTACAGGTCCAAATTAAAACAAGCAAACAAAAGCATCTTAATGTGTTATTTGAGAAAGTAGAACAAGAAAAGGGCCAGTACAACTGAGCATCCTAAGGTTATGGTGCAAGGTAGGAGACAGGCACTAGGGCAGGGATGAGTGAATGTGAGGCAGCAAAGTACCAAGATGGAATCGGTTTTCTGTCTGGACCTGGGGCAAAGTGAATCAAGACAAAACTTTGCTCCCCTAAGTTGATGCACTGAGGTGGCTAAGACAATAAGAAACACAAGGAATTCTTACTTCTGCTGCCCAATACATCAAATTTGCCACCTTCCTGAGGATATCTCTGACCATGGAAGAGTGATGACGAGCCAGTGACAGGCTCTAGGACAGAGGCTTTAGAGCTGAGATCAAGGGATCCCACCGGCTTCAAGGCCTACAGAAATTTACACGCACATGTGTGTTTTTTTTCGGGGGAAAGTCTACCATCAAACTGTGAAAGAGATCAGAAATCCCAAGAAGAGTTATTTTAGAGGCAGTGATGATTAAAAGTGATTCCTGTCCTCACAGAAAAGTGGGGGAAACATAATAATAACAGCTCACAGTTAGTGCACCAAGCCCTGTGCTCATTCACATACTTAAGCTCACTTAGTACTTATGCAAAAACTCTACAGCAGGTGTTATCATTAACCCCAAAGCCAAAGTGTTATGGAACCCCAAGTGCAATGGCTCACATGGATATACTGAGAGAAAATAACCCACTGTGATCATCGCAAAGAGAAGTACAGAGGTATCCTAGAGGGGCTGGTTTCTCTGCAGTAAGGAAGGCTTCCCAGAGGAGGTATTTAATCACCTAGAATACTTGGCAATCCCCAGGTCAGTGAGAACTGTTTGCTGGCATATTGCTTGTAACAGCAACAAATGGAAATATTCTCATTTAACCTAATCCATATCCCCTGTTAAGGGTTTTACATAAATGTCTCCTTTAATCCTCCAAACAAAACTACAAGGCAGCCATTACTTTCTTGTTACAGATGATGACATTGAGGCTTAGAGAGGCAAAAAGTTGCTCAGGGACCCTTAGTAGGAGGCCAGGATGAGAGCACATCCAGACTGACTCTGAGGACCAGGCGGCCATGCTTTCTGGCTGGCTGGCAGCTTTCCCCAAGGGCAGACCCAAGCTGAGTCACTCACCAGGGCTCTGTGCAGACCTGGAACCAAGGAAGAAGAAACCAGGTGGTACCTAGAGCAACAGGCCACTGGGCAGTTTTCCTTCCTGTGAGAAACTTGTGGGAGCCCCCAAACTCTCTAGAAGCTGCTTAACATGCCCGGCTTTGGTTGTCTTTGGTCTGTTTGCCTTTCCAGCTAAGGAGCAGGTGGTGAGGGGGCAAACAGCGACCTCATGGCAGGGATCTTCAGAGCACACAGGTATGTTAGGGCATGTGCACTCATCAGAAGGCAGGTCTACGGGGGAGGTCTGGAGGACAGGAAGATCCCAGACCAGGGAGGGACGTGGGGTATGGAAGTACCTCTAGGATATTTAGGCAAGTCGGATCCACTTTCCAACACGTACACTATTTTCTCCTCAAAACCCTCTTGCAAGTTAGGTTTAACAGCCCCTTCTGTGGATGAGAACACTGAGACTCAGTGGGGCAAGGAAACTCATCAGAAGTCCCCCAGGCAGTAGGAGCAGGAGCCGAGAGTCCAGCGGCGTCGCCTGCCTCTCCACCACAGCCTATGCTGTTAACCGGCTGCCTCACTTAGGCTTTTAGAAAATGTTGAAATCACTCACGGAAAAGCAGTCATCACCGTCAGATGCTTCTGGGACTCTGTGGGAACAGTGAGTTGGGAGCCACTGCAGGCCATTCAGGCAGCCCAGATATTTTCGAAGCAAAACATTAGTACGTTTACTTAATGACTATTTTAGAGTCAGAAAAACAGGGAATTCCACTTAAAAGAAAGTACCAGGGATTTTCATAAATTCTTTCTACAGGGTAAGTCATTCATACATTTATTTAATATTCCTGGAGCAGCTGTGTCGTGCGTGGCTTCCACGAACCAGGCCCTGGGCTTGCTTCTGGTAATTCACGGAGGAAGCTCCTGGAAGTAACGGGGAAGGAGAATTCCGACACTGTGGTAAGTGCTGTTGATAGAGGAACGACAGGGAACGGGGGCCACAAAGGTAGGGGTGATCTGCCGACACTGTTTGGGGCAGAAGTCCAGAAAGTCTCCCTGAGAGCAGAGCTTGAAGCCAAGCTGGGATGTGAGAGGGGGCTGAAAAGAGGGAGAGGGCGTGACTCCTCCAGGGAACTGCGGGGGTCACTAGAGCTGGACCAGGAGGAGGGAGATCAGAGATACAGGCTGAGGCTGGGACCCCAATGCCATGTATGGCAGGCTGGGGAGCTGGGATTTTTTTTTCGGGGCTATTAAGCACGGAGATAGTGTGGCCAGACTGGTTAATAAATTCACAGAAGCCAGGCGGCAAATGGAGCATGTTTCCTCACGTATCTAAACCTGTTAGGGGCGAGTGAGGGAATTTAGGCACAAATTGAATTGTAAGGAGCTGTGTAATGGGGGCTGGACCAGACTGAAACACGAAGAGCAGACCAGTGTCGCACTGACAAGGAGCTTGATTAGACACAAAGCCCTCAGGGAGAAAAACTGCTTTTTCCCTGAGCGGTGTCAACACTGCATGTTTTCTACTGGGTTTCTAGACTTGGGTTTGTGAAAAGGGGCCTGTATTTGGATAGGTTTTTTCATTAAAACTAACATGCATTGGGTTTTGAAAGCATATTTAGATAAGGTATGGTGGTTTCAAGATACTGCTGAGTATGACAGAGAAATGAACACTGATCAGAAAGAAATTTCACTAGGAAGAAGGTGGGTGGGGGCAGGGGAGGGTAAGGATGGGCCAGAGAGACTCCCACTCAGAGAACCCGGAAGCCCAGGTCTAGAAGGGAGAGGAGTTCCTCTTGCCCCTCTACTCATTCCACATTTGAATCCCCCCATAGTCTTTCTGACAGGGGGTCTTCCAGGCTCTGCTTGTGCAGCTCCAGTGACGGCGAGTTCACTCTCTTAGGTGCTAGCTGTTCCACCCTGAACAGCTCTGACCGACAGGAAGGTCACCCTCACTCTGAGCTGGAACTGGCTTTCTTACAGTGCCACCCACTGGTCTCAGTTACACAAGCTGGGCTAACCCAGTACAGTATAATCCTCGTCCACACAGTGGCCCTTTGGACTCCCATCTCCATACTCGTAGTTTCTTTGCTCCAGGTCCTTCAGCTGTTCCTCATGGGATGTGGTTTCAATTCCCCTTATCAATCTGATCTTGAAATATGCAGGTGTGTCTTTACATCTCTTACAGTATGGGGTCCAGAACTGATAATAATGTTCCAAATAAGAGACATTGAGCCTCACAACTGCTCTGTTAGGGCAAGAGCTGGGATTCTGGAGGGTCTGCATGTCTTCAAAGCCCGTGCTCTTTCCACCCATTGTTGAACTGAATGAGATCAACAGCGACTAAACACTCCAGTTCTTTTTACGTGGGTGTGGCAAAGTCACATGTCCCCTGCTCAACAGCCTTCACTGGCTCCCTAGTGATGCCTGAATTATGTATAGAGGGTGCCTTCTGAGTGCCAACTGGATGTCCTAAATATGGGACTGGGCCTAGCAGTGGCTTGGAACAGTACCACAGAGCTAGGGATCTTCCTTTTTGTCTCAGTTTCCAGGAGTCTCACCAGCAGATGGGGTCTAGATGCAGTGGACACTCTGGGTTCTCTGAAAGCCCACTACACATGGCCTTTTCCACAGTGTTCTGCACATTGGCTGGCCCCTCATAACACTCCACAGGCCCTGGCCAGCCCTTCTCCTATTGTCCTTCTGAAACTTCTCAACCCCTTTCAGATTAGATGGGCAACTCTCTTCCCAGAACCAAGGGACTGCCCCCTATTTGAGCAGGTAGAATAAAATCTTTGGCTGAAGGCTTTCGCCATGGAACACCTGAACCTTGAGTCCCTTGGACATAGCGGTTTGCACGATTCAACTTACTCCACTCATGGGGCCAGACCTTGGTCCAGACTGGCCCCCTTTCCTCAGCCCTACCATTTCTGCCTTACAGCTCCTGCCTCCTGACCCAGTGAGGAGGCCCCAGCACGCAGTACCCAGCAAAGCCACAGGACTTGTGACACTTATCCAGAGGAAGGCTTCCCTTCCCCAGGTTGCAGACATCATCTTGGTATGAACGCAGGTCACGGGGACCCGGCAGAAGGGAGGAGATATACTTACACTTACAGGTTGACTTTTTGGCACATCATAAACACCTTCCTTCTTTTGGCTGGTGGGAACCTAGGGAAAAATCAAATTCAACACAGTCAACACTCTGGTTCTCCACTTTCACAGAACAAAGCAACCAGACTTCAACTCCGTGCTGGCTTAGTGTGCATGAGAACAGCTCCTGAGGCCCAAGGGACCCAACTGCAGGGGGTGTTGGACTTGTGAAGGCCTCAGGCCAGGCTCCCCCCAGGAAAAGCGGGTGAGGAGAGGGGTGTGTGACCCACTCAACAAAACTTTGCAGGTGTCTCTGCCATTGGCTCCTCAGAAAATCACAGAATAGGAAGCTGCAGAGACCTCAGAGAGCAGGTGGTGGAAAAAATAATCCTCATTTCACCAAAGACAGAAAGGAGGTCCAGGGAAGAGCTCTGAGCTGTCCCAAGTGATTGAAACACTTTGCAGCTAAGACAGATCCGGGCTATTCACTAGAGCAAATGTCAAGGCACTAGTACAACGCATAGCTTCTGTTGGGATCACATACAAGCTATCTGATAATTACCGAAGGCTTTTGTCAAGAGAAGGGCCCATAAAAGGCATGAAAAACATGAGACTAGAACCCAGAAAACCCTGATTGTTTTTAACACGTATCTATCTTCTTCCCTCCCTCTCTTCTCTGACTCATCAGCTGTCTTATTGGTAACTGTAACGCCCTGAGCAGGTCACTTAGCTCCTCTGACCTTTATGATTATAAAATGGGTGCTGTTGGCTCTGCCTCTCGCTCAGGTTATTGTGAAGATCAAATGAGAAAATAGTAAATAAACAAAAATTATTAGGAACTATAATACTGTAAAGTGTTAGAATGATAGCTTCTGCTGTCATGGATACATTATATAAATATGTATATGAACATATTTTATAATACTAACAACACTAGGTACCTTGAATACTTTTCTCATGAGTCAATCAACATTGCAGATTAAAAGCAGTCATTACCTGTTCTTCCCCAGCAACTAGCACAGCTCAGCTCACACCTCCACTGGAGGGATGAGTAGGCAGTGGTTTTATAACTGTCTGATAACCCTCCTTTCCATCAGACTGGGAGCTCCCTAAGAGCAGGCATAGTGCCTAACACCAACGGGCATTCAGTAAATGTCTGCTGGGTGAATGTGCCGTAGAGGAACGTGCGGAACAGTGAAGAAAAAGTATCTTGTAGCCTTGGACCAGCTGACCATCCCATTCTTCTTAAAGAAGTTGAGCTTATTCCTTAAGTCCCTTTGTCATTTTCACTCTCATTCGCTTAAGTTAAAATCCTTATAATAACCCTAACATGTTAGTATTATAATCTCCAGTTTAAATAGTAGAAAGTGAGGCTCAGAGATATTAGGGAAATTTGCCCAAAGCTTCAAAGTGAGTAAGTAATTGAACCCACCTCTTTCTGGTTATCAAACAAGGCATTTATTACTAAAAGTATGAGCTAACAGTGACGGGGCACTTTCTATGTGGCAGGCACTCTTTTGAATATTTGTGTTTACATACATTCTCACGGAGTCCTCAGGACAAGTCAGTCAGATAAGGATGACAACTGTCCCCATGTTGCGGAGGAGGAAAATGAAGCCTGGAGAGGGTCCCGCAGTCGGGGATCAGAAGGGCCAGGCGTTTGTGCTGCGCAGTTTGCCTTTTAACGACTACACTACAGAGACAGCTGCATCTCACCCCGTTCCCACAGCTGTTTTGGTTGCTTCTTTTTTCTTCGACACGTTCTACACTCCCGGAAGCTTGTGCACGTTCCTGCAGCAAACAGGCCTACGAGTGAGCGTGCACGTGCGAAAGATGCACCTTCAGAGCTGCTCTTGCAAACCCCAGTTTGCAGGTAGCCAATGAAGAAGGTAATTTCTTTGCTCCTGATAACTGGGCTGCGCCTAAAAGGAATCCTCAGAGAATGCCTACAGAGTCCTTGTTAACGAGGGCCAATAAATCAGCAGCCCTCACTTTTATTTTTACTAGCTCGCCCTTTCCTGAGCAAAACGAAGAGCATTTCTGTTCCCCGTAATTCACTGCTCAGTATGGGCACTTAGCAAGTTGAACTGCTGCTGACTCTCAATTATCCCTCAAACGGAGAAGCAGCAGTGGGATGGACAAACCCAAACTGTGCATAATTGAAAAAGCTTTTCTGCGTGGCTTTCCCGTGGGTGAGATATCAATCTGCCTGTTTGTCCTTTAAGATTTATCTCAGCCGGGACATCTTCTTGGGAGCCCTGCCTGACTCTCTAGGCCTAGTCTGAACCTTCCTCTGTACTCTTGTGACCTCTGGTGCATCCTTTCCTTAAAAAGTAAAAGTTACCAAGTACCTCTTATGTGTCCTGCACTGCACTTTGCCTGGGACAAGGACGGGAACAAGACAGATACGGCCCCTGACTGAGCAGAGCTCCTTGTCTTGCTGGGGGAGATGGAAAGTGACCAGGCCGCTCAAGTAGACTGAAAATGTGCTTTGTCAACCACACTGCAGCTGCCTGTCACTTCTCTCTGTCCCCACTGCTCTGCAAGCTTGCTAAGGGCAGGCCGGATATGTTATTATCCTTGTTTCCCCATCTGTAAACACTGGTTAAACACGAAACATCTAAGCATCAAACATTTACCACTTGTGTGCTGAAGCAGAACACGGGCCGAAGGGCTAAAGGGACCAAGACCAGAGAGAGCCTTGGTCCTGGCTCTGAGCTCTGCCTGCCTGGTCCTTCCAGTGTATAGACCACGTCAGAAATATGACGTTCTAGAGTGATAACAGTTCTGGACCAAAAGGAAGTGGGAGAGCTGGTTCCTAATCCTGGCTCTGCCACGGACTGTGTGACCTCAGAGAGGTCACTTTGTTCTCTGAACCTCAGTCTCCACCTCTGGTTGTTGTGAGCATCCAAGGGGTTGCCCACAAAACCTTTAAGGGTGGGACACGCTGTGGTCAATATTACATGCCCCCGGGCCCAGCACGTGTGAGGTGCTCCATACATCATTACTTTTTGAGTGAATGAGGTAACAGATGTGAAATTACTCTAAAAACTATACATTGAGTACTACACACACAGAAGATATTTTTAGCTCAGCAACATATTAGTAGTGTGGAGAGGCAGTTTAAGGGTTGGGTGACACAGGACAAGAGACTTATCATTTTAAAATAATGCTACTTGACACATCGTAGGTGATTAAAAATGATTTTCGAATGTCTGAACTTGGAGAGCGTCTGTGTGGAAAGCTGCACATCTCGCTTACGTAGGAAGCTTGTTCAGATACTAAAGAACCCTAGGTTGAGAATCTGAGGCTCTGGCCTTGGGCCCAGCACTTAAGCTGGAGGGCTTGATTTTCGTACGTTTAAAATGATAGTCACTGCGGCTGGTCTTCTTATGTCCCCGAGTTATTGGAAGGGTCAAAATTAAGTGAGGTATAAAAAGGCTTTGTACTGTGAGGTTCTGTGTTCTTTTAAAAAGATGACTGCCCACTTTTTCTGAGGCATGAAAAGAGCAAGACAATTGCTATTATGAATCCGGTTTGGAAAATGAGACTACTGATCCTTGAGGAGAGGTTACATTTTCTCAGCAGTCTCCCCTCCTCTGTGTTGGATTATAAACAGCAACGGTGAGCGAGGCTGCAGCTTTCCGCTAGGCTTTCTGACAAGACAAGGTGAGCACTCATGTTCTACTTCACTTACTGCATCATCCTAAGACATCCTGAACAGATCTGATACTGATGACATGTAGCAGTAACGGGAATTAACATGGACACAGAACCTACTATGCACCAAGTGCTGTCCTCTTGCTTTATATCTTCACTTCTAGAAGCAGACGACAGAGTATCCCTATTTTATAGTCCAGGAAATTGAGAGACAAAAGTTATGTACTTCATGCAAGGACACAAAACAATGAAAGGATTAGGCCCCACGTCTGTTTCCCTCATTCCAGAGAACAGGGGATGGAATAAAATCTGAGACCATCCTGGACCAAGGTGAAGCATGAGAAACACCGCAATCTACTCGGGAGGAACAGCTATGGAACACTTGTGGGCCGTTAAAAAAAATGAGGCTCCTAATAGCAGCTCCTTAAAAACCCAGTCTTATCTCTAGGCCCAAGAGCTTATCTCTTGTTAAGCAGATTGAGGCCCAGCTGACTGGCAGTGCAGAGAGAAGGACCAGAGGCCTTTCCAATAGAGGGCGATAAAATATTCATCCCCCTAAATGGTACCTCCTGTTAATGACGGACAGACAGGGAAGATTCTGGAGGCCAGAACTGTTAAACAAGTGTGATTTTCAGATAGTGACTTGAAACGCACACAGAATCTAATTGTGAAACTCAGCATCAGGGAACTCTGAGCTGAAAAGAGCCTCGTGATTAATTTGTTTACAGAAGTCAGAGAGACGTGGGTGTGAGTGGGGGCTCCACCTCTTGCCAGCTGTGACCCAGGGCAAGGTACCTGATCTCCGTGAGACTCACTTGCTGCTTCCGTGAAGTGGGAACAGTGGGTCAAGCCACAGAAGGTTGTTGGGAGATATAGTCAAATACTGCATGTAAACCCCTTCACAGAGCAGACCCACACTCAGGTCTCAATAAATGTTACCAAAACCATGCACACACACACGCACACCATTTCTAAGAGCCTTGTGCCCTGTAAAGCAAGCCAACACGCTTCTCTAAGAATCACAACCTTTGATGAGGCACTCATTGCAAAGAACAGAACAGGGCCTGCCTGAGAGACTCTTCAGTCTTATTTGCTCATTTTACAGATGAGTTAACTGAGGCCCCAAGGAGGAAAGGAGCTTGAGAGGGTGATTGATGGCTGAGCTGGTACTTGTACTAAGATCCTGTGGACTCAGCACGTGACCCAGGATTCTCCACATGATCTGGTTTCATTCTCACACCAACATGTGAGTGAGGGAGAAATTATTCCCCTATTTTATCATTGGGGAAACTGAGGCTCAGAGAGGGCAAGTGCCTTGCCCACTACCACTCAGCCAAAGCTAGTTGGTGACAGAGCCAGAACTAGAACCCACTTCTCCACTTGCCTAAACCCAGTTCTTCCCAGTACACGAGGGGGCCCCACCAGCAGTCCCCACGGGGCACAATGGGAGCCCTATCAACCACAGCTAAGCCTGAATTCAGGAACCTCCTATATGGAAAAGCCTAATTGTGTTTGAAAAGGTGTTCTGTCTGCCTAGGATGACTAGCGAGTGGTTCCTTTGGCCTCATATTCAGACATTGCAAGGTTGTACTTTAAAATCTGGCACTGAGGACAAATTCGCAACTTTTCTGTTTAAAGACTGAAACTTTGTAAGCGATGATTTTAAGCAAAGCCTCAAAGCACAACCTCGCACTTGAATCCACTCCCGATGGATCCAGTGGATAGAAATACTTAGATAATCAGTCCACAGGACTGGTTTAAATCGAGTTGTTGGTAGAGCTAACGTTATACTTTGGTCATTTAGAATTCTGTGTTTGATGGAAATTGAAAATCTGCTTTACTTTCATTACACAAGTAATGCATGCCCAAGGCAGAGTAACAGACCACACAACAAAATTGATTAAGAAAATTAAAATCACTTATGAAATACATTAAATGTTTTCCTTCTTCCACAATGTTTATATTCAAATGAGGACTAAAATTCTAATTAGTGAAAACTTGGAGGTCGTATATTTGTTTGATGTGTTGCTATGCTGCAGCTCCCCAGACTCTTTGATGGAAAAGCAGAGGGAGAAGCGTGAGTTTTGCCTTCAGACACTAGCCTGGGTTTGATCTCAGCTCTGAATAGTGGTACGGCAACTCGACTTCTCTGAGGCTCAGTTTCCCCTTGTGCAAGTGGGATTTAAATACCTACTTTATCGCACATTTGTGAGAATTAAATGAGTTCAAGTGTGTTCATGGTTCTTCACATAAGCAGACATTTAAGAACACTAATTTACCTTCCCTTCGGAAGTGGTAAAACCTTTAGCTATACTTTCTTTTATTCAGTTAAGAGTCCCGACATTGTCTTCAAATGGTTTTTTTGAATTTGTACTTCATTTTCAGTAGTGTGGTTAGCTTTTTAAAGAAATGTGATGAACACATTTTTTTGAGAAACAAAGGACTCTACTATATTATGGACAACAACCCTCCAATGTATTACTCTAGTAAAATGGAATGTTTGACTTTTGAATCAACTTAAAATAGTTAAGATCCATTAAAAATTAAAACACTGTACCCAACTGGCCATTAACTATTTCGACAATAAGTCATGAAAACTACTGGTAAATTGTAGAACTAGGAGCCAGTCACACAAGGGTATCTCAGCAAGGCTGGAAAGAGGTACGTGGAGCTTGTGAGGAGCCAGCCCTGGGGTCCTCAGACCCTTCACGCATTTATCGGTAGTGGTGCAACAGGAAGAGAGGGAAGCGATCTTATACCTGATAAATGTTTTCTTCCGTTTCCGGATCACGGATTGGCTCGTGTCCAGCCTCAAACACAATGTACTATTACGGAGCGGCCAGAGAGGAAAGGTCAGAGGGGAAAAAGAAAGAGGAAAAAAGCATTTGGAATTCAAGATACAAAACACAGCGAGCATTAAAGAATCAGACACAAGAGAAAATACCTAAGAGACAACTGAATTCCTGAAACACCACACGTGCCTTTGCACATTCCTGCCTTTTCCAAGGAAAACTGCAAAGGTCCCACGTCAGTGCTTTAGCGATGACTGCCTGGGGCCCCTGCAGATCTTTCTGGAGATACCACCTCTTCCCTCAATCGCGTTTATCTCAGTAATGCCTGCATGTGATGGCATTGTTAAGTGGGAATGATGTCTTTTGGGAACACCTGGATCCCAGCTTTGTAAACTTCGGGTTACAGAGGTTGATTCCCTTTACCTCCTAAGGCTCAACGTCCTAAGCCAACTCTGAAGCCCCAAAGTCCTTCATCCCACAAATCTCACCCTTTTTACATTCCCAGTTTTAAATACTGAAAATCAAATTTTCCACGTGCATATTCCAGAATCCAAAGGACTGGGCCATTTCAAAGAGCGCAATAGTCTTCATTCTCTGTGAGCCAGTTAGCCAGGGGCTGAGCTCATATTATAACGAATCCTCGCCCTCAGCATTCTAGAGCAAGGGCATGTCATTAAGTGCATCCTGGACTTTCGTTTGCTTATATGCTAGATACTTCTTCCGCTTCAAGTTTTCCATATCATATCATTTTTTTTTAATCCGTGTTATTTTACTTTTGTCATAGTGGTACCAGCTGTGTGAAAATATGCATTTATATATAATGCATATGTGATACACACATATACAACCCGTGTGTGTCCCAATTAGAAATCTAAGTTTCAGGTTTTCTTTTATGTCCAACAAGTCAAATTTGTGGCTTCTTTCTCTCTTGGGGATAAGCACAGGGCAGGAGAGGCCTCCTCTTCCCTTTTCTCTGCATCTGTTTGAACAGAGCACATATTGAACCCAAGAGAAGTCACCTCTCCACCCACACCTAGGCTGCAACCTGGGAGAGTCCAGAGGCAGCTACGGGCTGGGATGTCTCCAGGATCTCCCTCTTCCTCTTCACAAGAGGCCCCAGAGCATGAGCCAGGTAATCAGAGGGGCAGCATGGCCGACACGGGGCCAGAGAGACTTCTCACAGCTTTTCTAAAGCTTAAAAACCATCCTTCAGTGTCGTGTTCAAATGTCGTCAAAATGTCAGTCCCCATCGCTGCTTCTTAACTCAGAGAAGCCACCTCATTATTCATAGTCTCTCTAATGAACTCAGAATATTCAAGAGACTCTTGAAAACATTCAGCTCTGGGATCAAACTTTTACAGATTGTGGAGGGGGCTGAGGCAGGGGCAAGAAGGGAGAAGTGCATCTCCAAGTCCCATGTTACTGACGCCGGCCAAACTTCTGTTAGTTTTCATGGAAATTCGCTCCTGGAGGGACTGGAAGCCCTCACTCGCAGAAATCATCTTGATCTCTCTCCAGGCTCTGCAGTCAGTGGATTCTTCAGGTCTCTGACAAAATGTCTACACCACAGGCCTGGCCATTCCTGACCTTAAACCCCGACTAGTTTCACAAATTACCTGATACACAGGATCTTCCACATCCTCTTCCAGAATTGTCTACAGCAGAGTGAGGGAAGGGAGGGTGAAAAGCAGAGGATATAAAGGAAGAGATGTGAGACTATATTTAGAAATTAAGGACAGTAAGGAAACCAGCTCTGGGTACCATAGGCTGGTGGGTCATTAAGGTAGAAAACACACAGAAAAAAAATCAAAACCCTTGCAGACACTCCACCCCCATCGTTAACAATAGCAAAGCGGTTGTGTATCTTCACTTCTCCTCCCCTGAAATCCTCCTCTGGATTCAAGACTTCACTTTCTGTAACACGTCTAGAATTTCAGAGAATAAGGGATCATCTCTAACAGCTTGCTTTGGGTGCCTGTAATTTACACAGGAACCTTTCATCTTTGTTTATTTCCACTGGGCAGCAGGAGGAGAAGCCCTGACTGTCAGTTTTCACATCTGTTTATTCTAAGCCCCAGTCTTCTCTGAAACCAGGATAAATGCACAGGTATACCTGATACACAGCTTGTTCACACTGCTTATCCTTTTGTGCCTTTTTTTCCAATTCTTCTCTTTGCTTCAATTCATAAATAAGTTGAAAGAGATCTCTCAAGTCCAGAATAACAGGTTCAGCCTGGAGTAAAATGTGGTAAAACACATTAATAAGGGAATGGTCCTGAGCTGCAGCCACCGAGTTTTGTTTTTGCATGCTATACCCAGCAGTCCTTCCTTTTTCTATTAAACTGAAAGCATTCCATCTTTAATTAATTCTACCCTGTTTATGTTGGTTTAGCAAATTGCATCTAGGCTAAAGTTCATTTCTTCAACTAATTATATTTGCGAATTCATAATAATCATAAGCATAAAAGGCATTGCTTTTATTTATTAGTAATTTCGAATACAATAAAATTAGGGTAGGCCTTATGCAAAACAGCTATTTGTTTTCTCTTATTTTCTTTTTAAGTAAGGCTATGAACACAAGGAAACTTGTTTGTATACTGTGCCACCATCCAGCTTAATCAGAAAGGAAAATAATTAGTCATTACGAAATACCCATTAGAAAAAACAACAACAAACTAGATGGGCATAAGTGTGTTTCCTCACTCTAAGGTTGTTTATCTTTTCTAGATGGGAACCTGAGCATCAGGACCGCTTAGTCAGATATCACAATGGGCCTTCAAAGACCAGCAGTGCGACTGTGCTGTCCCCTGAGCTTAGAAGGAAGGCACCCTCCTTCAGTGGGATACTCACCGCCTGGGCTGTTTTTATGGCCACAAATCTGTGATTCCCTTCCTTCCCACAAACGTATCCAAAGGCCCGGTGATCCGTAATGTCCTTTGCAATGTAGGAAATTTCGTGAACAGCATGATGATGCTGAAGGGCCTATTAGAGACAAAAGCAAGACATATTTCAGGGGACTTTCCCTTCGAGGTGTTGATCAATGAGAGATGTGTTTCAGCTACGTGTGAACAGGCTCGAAGGGCTTTGGAAAAGCTGTTTGGTCCAGATGGAAGGAAAGAGAGCTGTGCCTGCCCCTGAGAAACGGAGGCTTCCCTCCAGGGTCTTAATGCCGTGACCAGAGAGATAAACAGGACTGTTCATATGCTGAATGAGCGTCTGTGCGGTGGCTTCCTTGAGCTTGCCAGAGCCAGTCAGTCTAACTCAGGAGTGTAGGCTCTGATACGTCTTTCTTCCCAACATGCCCAGTCTAAGTTCTGGCCTGATACTTAATACACTTACATACACAGGGCATCTGCTTGCCGCGGTGGAAGAGGTACACTGTACAACTACAGGGGGTGCCAGTCATGTTCACAGAACCATAAATTTACATGGTTACAATTTTCTGACAGACGGTGATGGAGTGTCTTGAGGAACGCACACCTTTCTCTATCTTGTCCAAAGTCACCATTTGGGCTAGAGATGGGGTCCCCCATATCTCTGAGGCTTTTCATGGGTTGGTTCCTGTCTGCAATGCCTGTTCTTTTATACACCTGCCCAAATCCTATTCCTCTTGCAAAGGCCATTTGAAATAGCACCACCTCTGTGAAACCTCCCGTGAAAAAGGCTTGCCTTCCCTCTACCTGCAGAAAGAATTCCTCCCTCTCTTGTGTTTCACCAGAGAACTTTAGTCTCCAGTGATGCTGAAACTCCTGATGGGGTCCTCACACACAGCTCCCAGGTTCCTGCTTTCAGAGACCTTCCTTCTCCAACACGTTGGCCTGGTTCCTGGCCTGTCTTCCCCACCAGCTCTGTTTTCCGCATCTCTGTCATCCCAACACCTTGCACCGTGCCTGGCCCATAGTTGTTCATCTAAAGTAAACTGGGATAGCTGATCAGTAATTTGAAAATCTCTTGAAACTGAGCTTCCCACCTTTATTATCTACGCTTCAACAAATGATGTTCACCGTCCTTTTATGGCCATTTTCCGAAATAAAATCTACTGAAAGCAACTCTCGTTAAACAGTACTCTGTAAAGGCTTATGTATGCATCTGGGTGTTATATGATGTGTTTCAAGTCCTTATAAAGGGTCTTTTCATCCTACTGGGCATCAAGAGGCTGGAATTCTAGCCACTATGTGAACACAAGGCACTCACTGTACCTCTTTGGACCTCAGTTTATTCCTCTATCAAATGAGAAGTTTTTGCCAGATCAATGGCTCCTAACCCAAAGCCCTGGATCTACTGAGGTCATTAAAAGTAATAAAAAGAGGTCCTAAGCAATGTTCAATATTTCAAAAAGCTAAACAGAAATTTATTATTCCTAATAAGACTACACATTTCATTATGCATGCAAATGAAAATGCCAAGTTTGTTGGAATTGTATCAGGTTACTGTTGTACTCCTTAGCTAATCTTTGAGAAGATTCTCTTTGGCAATTAGTTATGGGTTCAAATAATCCAAATACGAAAGTGAATGATTATAAACACATTTTTTTGGTGGACAAAATCTTCCTCATTACTGAGTCTATGGAGCGAGGAAGAAATGTAAGACAAGGGGAACTTCATTATGAAAACGTTGGTAACCACTGGAGTAGATGTTCTCTAAGGTCTTGTTCCATCTCCCCAGATCCTTTCAGCATTAGGACCTTGAACCATACAGCCAGCATCTCAGGACACTGGGCTCTGGCTCTCATGGTGGTCATCATCTTAGTTCTGGACCATTGGCCCTAGCCTTTCATAATGTCCATTCCCAGCCTGTTGCCCTCTTTCCAGGCTTCTGACCTTATGAATCACTTCTGCAGTATAATTTGCTGCCACACCTTAACTTTCTAGAGTCTGATCATTCATTAACCTCTTTGACTACTCTTGGGACCTCCCCCTTTAGCTTCCTGCCCTGTCCAGGTTTCCCACTGCCTACTGGACCTCACACTTGGAGGGTGGTGTCACTGCCCAGTCACCCTAGCCCCTCAAGTGGTCACAAGATAACTTTAATTCTAGTGGATTTCAACACAAATAAAGTTGGTGAGGAAGGAAGTGTTTGTTAGTAAAATAATCAGGATCCATTTATTCTTGTTTTATTAAGAGGACATGTTTAGCTAGCAGAGGAAAACTGCTCAAAGAACAGTAGCTTTTTCATGGTGTTGATGTAAAATTGATGAGATTTATATTCACACAACATGGGGGTATTGATTCATAGGCTTCTGTGAGCTTGAATGGTATGCAGCAGGGGAAAATGGGAGACAAAGACGCTCTCCTTCTCTGCCTTTCCTGAAAGTATTTCTCTCTCTGTATAACGTGGAGAATGTTATTCACATCTCCTACTAAATCAAAGTTTGACGACAGTACCTTATTGATTGCCAAGTGGGATATTGCTCTAAAATTAAACTGCGATTAGAAGTCTTCCTGGTGGAATTAGATTTGGAGATGATTGTGCAATGTTAAAATATCACCTCCTATGCAGACAGCAGATGGAGACGTTTTAATTTATCTGGGAATCTTCATTAAGTGTTTTAAAATCAAAACATTTTCAATGTCGGATGATACCTAATAATGCCTCGCCAAGTATAACTGTGTGTGTGCATGAAGTGCTTGAAGATATTTGTACCATTATCTTTTCCCATAGTTAATTTTATGACATGTTAAAAAGGATTGCTCTGAAAGTGGCTCATTTATTTGGAAACTAAGAGTCAGTGGGGGGATATGTCTCCACTTTCTCCAACCTTAACCATGCACACGTAACACAGATATTTGGACATACAAACACATTAGAATCCTGCTAATCCCACAGTTGTATTATCACGTTCATTTTAGCAACACAGAGGATCTTGCAAATACCTGTTCAGTGAGTCTCAAAATAACTCCATGTCTTCAAGTAGATTTTATCAGCACAATCAAAGACAGTTGGAGCCAGAGGAACCTTACACAACAGATAGTTCAACTCTGAGTTTATTCATGAAAGGACTGAGGGTCAGAGAGAGTTCTGGCAGGACCAGTCTTAAACCCAGGCCTCATTCTCCCTACTCCAGGTGACAAAGTTTTGAAAAGAGGAAATAAGATTATGTAGAATCAAGGTCTCCTTTCCTTAGATTCCTGGCTCCCTAGTCCAACAACAGAATCACGATCCCCTGACAAGCCGGGATGAGGAAAGCAAGAGAAGGGGAGAGCTGGGTAAGGAGGTAGAGCTGAGGCTGTTCTGTCAGGTATCTGAGGTCAGAGAGGGTCATAAATCAGAAGGTTTGAGGTAAAGGCCAGTTATAAGGATCTCAAAGAAAAGGTCAGGACAGCGTGATCTGGAAGTGTGGCTCAGAGGCCTGGCCATCTGTGGTCTCTGTTGAGCAGCAAAGGCTGGAAAGGTGAGGTGGGGCCCATCGTCACAGGAGATAAGGACTGCTTCATTCCAGGAGTGCTTCTGTGGGGGCTGCTGGAGCATCACGGGTTGTTCTGGAGGCAGCAGAAAATACTGGGCTGGGGCCGGAGGGAGAAGGTGGAGGAAAGGCAGATGCTGGTTGCCCTTCTTCCACATTTCCTTTTCGTCTTGGAAAACCGGATATTAAAGTACTGCCAAAATTCAAAGCAGGTTTTTGCTTTTAAAGAGAGAGTCTTCAGAGCCACAGCTTCATTTATTCCTCCCATTCTGAACCCTCTTCCTGACACTGTAGATGAAAGTTGTCACTGAAGAATTCCAAGAACAATCCAGAGATCAACCTCCTCAATCCAGTCTGACTTTCCTCCCAGGGGTGAATTTCAGGTGACCTAGGCTGCAAACAATCTGAAGAGCTCATCCCTCCTTCTTTCGGTTCTGTACTTGCCCACCTCTGGGCCATTACTCACGCTGTTTTCCCCACCGATTGCCCACTCCACCCTGACTCACGCTTCATCAACTCTGAGTAACCAAGTCACACCTATGCTTCAAGGCCTAGCTCCAACATCGCGCTCATCCAAGGAACCTTCCCTGACTCGCCTATTTCCCTTCATAATAATTCCCGTCCTTAGATCTCATTGCATTGTATTTGTTCTTCCATCTAGGATGCTTCACACTTTTTAATTTTGTTTCACAGTTATCCATTCATGCAGTTATTCAAACATGTATTTACTGAGTGCCTGTTATGTGCCAGGTCTCAGGCTAAGTGCTACCTCTACCTAGATGATTAAAACATAGTCCCTTCCTCAAGGACCTTGCAATCTCATAAAACAGGCAAGCCAAAAACCTAACAACTACAATATAATAGGACAAGCTTTATATTAAAGGCGCATAGGGTGTTACATAGGCTCAGAGCAGGAATGGGGAAGGGCATCAGGTAAGACTTGACAAAGGAAATGACCTTGAACTGAGTCTGCAAGGATAAAGGGGAAGTCCCTAGAAGACTGGGGGAAAGGGCATTCTAGGCAGAAAGAACTGAGCATTCCAAGGCCTCTAGGCCCTGAGAACAGGACATGTGGAGAACATCTGTGTAGTAGGCTCTCTCCACTTAGGGGATGCTAGCTCTGGGAGAGAAAGATCCATGTCTGCGCTCCTCAGTCTTATCCCAGCTCCTAATACTCTTCCTTTTGAATAGTAAGTGCTAAATAATGTTTGATGAATTAAAGAAGGAAGGAAGAATCAAGCCATTTGAAGACATACACTGCACAAGATAGCTGCTCAATAAATGCTCAATGAACTACTGAATCATATTGATTCATGACATTTCACATAGGATTCACTCTGTGAACAGGGGATTCCTTATCTGATATCATTAAGTCTTTTTTTTTTTTTTTACTTAGCATTTCCATGAGCCATTTACCAATGTTTAAATGAAGTATCAAATTGTTTAGAGGGTTATCGTCTGACAGAATAAATTACAGAGAAGACTTAATTTGTAGTATGGTTCAATACAGCCAATTAAATACAGTATGGATTAGAAAGTCATCTGCTTAGACTTTACCATTAGCCTTTTTTAAAGAATA